CCCCCCAGGATTACACGCAGGAGAGAAGGAAGAGGACCTCTGCACCAAGTCCATTCTGATCGACGTAACAATCGTCAACCCATCAGCAGGTCGAAGCATCGACAAGTCGATCCTTAAGCCAGGATCAGCCCTCGAAGATCGAGCTGCAAGTAAGGCAAATCACTATGCGGGAACTTTCAACCCGTCTAGATCTACCCTCCTTACTGCTGCTTTTTCAACGAATGGTGGTCTTGGCAAAGGCACCAATCGACTCATCGTTGCTATCGCCAACCACTTGGCGCACGAAGCTTTTTGCCGGGGGAATTTTGAAGGCGAAAGAGCCTTAGTTCGCCAGAAAGCGTTTCATACTAACAGGATTCGGAGACGGTTTACCTTCGAGCTAGCTCGTTTTCTGTCGATGCGAACTCGCGATGTGTTCAAACGTCATGGGCTACTTATCGACCAACTTCCACCAGGGCCAATCGGTTGGGATCTCTGCGACAACGATAGTCGTGAGGTTAATTCTTTTGGGAGTGACGAAGACGAAGGAAAGGGAAAGGGAAGAAAGGAGGGCGAAGACGACCATGGAGCAGGAAAACATGGAGGAGTGGAAGAGAGCAAAGGGTTTGAGCCAGATGACCTTCCCCACAACAAGAAACGTAGGGCTAGGGAAGAACTGCCCAGAGATTCTTCTTGTCAAAATGAGGATCACAATGATGGTAGCGAAAACAAGGAGGACACTGGTGAAAGTATTCCTAAACGAACTCGAGTACTAGGTAATAGCCTTGGTAGACGAGTGCAGTTTTCTTCTGTTGCTGCTGTTTCTGTTTTTGATCCGAAGGATAGCTTAGCCTCCCTCATACTGCCCCCTCACGGGGTCCCAGTTCACGGTAGATAGAAGTGTTTTGTGTTTTCAACCGCACTAAGACTGACGTCTTTTCATTGGTCAGCCGGGTAGCGCGGTCGATGCTAATAATAAAACACACACACACACACACACACACAAGTCTGGAGGAACCCAGAGCAGTCTCACCAGTATCCAATCCAGACGCACGTCGCGCACCCGTTCCCGCAACACTCTTCCGCTTCAGGTTCCTGGTGATGATTGATGACGAGGAGGTCACAAGCCGAAAACAGTCAAAATGAGGTTCCAATAGTGTGTGTTGTCCTAAGCCGCTCTGATTATCAGTGGAAGACGAAGTACAAGGCAAGCAACCAGAAATTGATGAACATTCCGGTTTGTTGCCCGCTCGTACCAGGTATTCCTGTATGGACTTCGAAGTGAATAAGGCTCCCAGTCGCAGCACATCAAATTCTCGACGAGCAGGAGGAAAAGCACAGACAAATCATCAGTAGCCAGGTGTAACAGTGAGAGTAGATTAGGCTTCAGCGGGAGTCGTTGTCGTACACGATGCGACGGTGTCCTTTCAGGGCATTGTTGTCGAATTGATGTTTCGCCGAGAGTTTTCGGAGGACGAGCACCCACTTTGGATTACTTCACAGAAAAATGGCACCCGACTGTGAAAGATACTGTTGTGCACGTGCATTCAGTCCACTTTACCTCCGGTTTCGTCAAGGTATTTCTCACACGACTCGATTGCCCGTCGGGTTGAGCAGCACCGGCACTCGCTTGTTGTGTTGAGCCAAGCTTCCTCTCAAGAGCTGCGAATTCCTCCATCATGACTTGCTCCGGGGTCTTTCTCCTCGGTGCCTCCCGCGGCGAGGCGAGCTTACGCTCCAAATCAGCGAACTCCTCCATTGCCACTGCCTGAGGAACCTTCAGTAGGGGGGGTGGTTTCGTCTGCGCTTGCTGCTGTGGTTGTCGTTGGTGTCGTTGTTGCTGTTGCTGTTCCTTTTCGACTGCCATATTCAATAACGTGCCGCTGCCGCTGTTGGTGTCGGTCGCCCCGGGAGGTGACCAACGGTGATACCGTCTCCTGCATTGCACCGCTCCCGGACCCTGCTTTGCTGGACCGCTCGCTCTTGCGCGAGGTGATCGCCGTTCTTCCCTTCTCCCGTCGGCCAGAGGACATGAAGAAGAAGCCGACGCACGACGTGCCACGCAGCAGGTTCTAGCAGCAAGGGGCCGCTTACACGGCCCAAATGAAACTCTGGCGAAGGACATCCAAGACACACCTTCCTCTCGGCTTAAGAGAGTATGTTCGCTGGCACCAAGTTCCGCAATGGCGGACACACTTCGCTAGTACGCTGCGATGACTGTCGGTTTGTGCCCCAGACCTGACAGTTCAGTGAAGAACCAACATGCAAACTCCGTACAGCTCCCTCCCCCCCCCCTTCACCTTTGACTTCTCCGCAGTGGACCCCCGAGTCCGCGGTTGCTCGTGTCCTGTGTCACTCTGTCGCTGCCGTCGCTGTGACTGCTCTTCACGCTTCGTCCGGAACGATGTCGGCTTCCAGAATAGCTCTTGGAGCAGCGATGCTGGCCCCGATGGCAAGTTCGACTTCCTCATGCGTTGGCGCCGAAGCCTAATTGTGTGTCAAACACGCCCGGTATTTGATCCATGAGTTTGTATCATGTGCTACCGCACATCCAGCCGGGCGTACCAGAGCTGCGGGTCCTGAAACATGAGCTGTGTCATTATACTTATCATCGTCCTGAGGTAACGCGCTATTCTCTCTGTGTTTCCTGCACAGGCCCTGGGTTTTCTCGCTCCAATCTCCTTGCCACGTGGTACGTCCAACCCTGCTGGTACCATCAGCTCAGCAACAACAGCAATATCAGCAGCTGCGGCAAGCAGCAGCAGCAGCAGACGAGCTCCTGGAACAGCAGTGAGCATGAGCACAAGAAACGAACCCCAGCAGAAACAGCAGCTGAAGGCTTTGGAGATGACCCCACGAAGAAAGCAGTTCTTCCGTATGGTGTCAGAGGGCCTCAAAGTTGGTTTCGAGGGCGAGGACCTCTCCCGCGTGGAGAATTTCGTCCGCTATTGCAAAGGGGAGCTCGAGTACAAGGCGCTGGGCCCGCTCCATCAGGTAGTTTTTTGCGCTGGGGCTCATGTGCATAGTGCAGAGAAATGTTTCGGGGATGGATGAGGACTCGGGCCTTTTAGCACAAGCTCTACCTGTTTGGTCCATGATGTCATCGAGGGTTTCGTCCACACCATTTTGGAGACGCGTGGTCATCCCATGTTCGTACCAAAGCATTGCAATTCCGAGTGGTGAAGCGCGCCCTGCGGTTCGCGACTACCACTGTACAGTGTACTTTTAGCCTAACTGGTGTGCAGGTTCCACGCCAGGTATTGGTGTGCAGGTTCCACGCCAGGTATCTGATTATGCCTTTATCGCAAATAACCATACTGTGGTCGTACTCAATCCTGTGCTCGTGGTCTCCCGGATTTCCTACCTGTTCCAGCCCAGCGAGGAATATGTAGAGGGCCTCCGAGCCAAGCCGTGGTGGGAACCTCAGGAGTTTGAGTGGATAAGCGAAATGGAGGAGAGGTCAAGCATCGTCATCGACGAGTTCAAGGCGTTCTGGAACGACCCTTTGTCGGGGTTTGCGAAAGACAGCGTCAACATGAACATCATGGGCAAGGGTTGGAGCGGTGTCCGCCTTCAGCGCCTTGGCGAGTGGATACCGGAGAACTGCGAAAAGTTTCCCAAGACCGTCAAGCTCCTTAAGGAGCTGAAGATTCCCCTGGCGGTGCGCGGAGTAATGTTCGCGCGGCAGGTGCCCGGGAGCGGGGTGTCCCCGCACACGGACGGAAGAAATTTCATTTTGACTACACATCTCGGTGAGCAACCAAGCAACCTGCGTTTCTCCCACCCTGCGATATGTAGCGCTGCTACCTAAGCTCGCTGACATCGGTGTACGAGGACACAGCAGTGTGTTTAGAGCGTGGTTGGAGAGTAGGAGTTTGTGTGTGTTTGACGCAACAGCCGGGGTCGCATGGGAGGAAGGTACAGCACGAGGTGCTTTTTCGTTCTCTCTCCCCTCCCGTCCCTGCGGCACTTGCTTTCAATTTGTAACGCGCCGTTTCATCCCTCCTTTCTTGTTTACTCGCGACCATGTATGCGCTTGTCGCTCCTAAAATATGATTTTTCTGCCCTAGAGAGATTCGAACCTGCAAATCTAGAGAGCCAGAAGGCTACACCGCTACTCAGTAGAACCATCGAGCTTGCTGTGTCAGGTCGCAGTTTCAGCGCCGTGTTCAGGCCGCTACAGTAGTTTGTTCTAAAAGTAAATCTAACCCTACCTCACTAATGCACCCACTCAATCGATCGAATCGACCGGTTGGGCCATCACCAGGGGTAGACGTACCGGAGGATTGCTGGATACGGGTTGGGGAGGAGAAAAGGAGTTGGGAGAACGGCAAGGCGCTGATCCTGGACACAAGCTTCGAACACGAGACCCGCAACGACTCTCGGCGCGACAGAATCGTCCTGATCATCGACTACTGGCATCCAGGCATGTTTCCGCGGTCGCACTGCAGCGCAGCGCCCCCACTTGACAACTTTGCAGCTAAGAAATAACAACCCGGGGATAGCCCCGGCCTTCAAATGAACCCCTTCCATTATTTTTTTTTTCCCGGGGAGGAAGTCGTATATGTGTATAGTAAGGAGGGTGTTGGATCAGGTCGAACCAAGAACGAGCCATACCTATTGGCTTCTGCCACCAACACCGCCATCAACGCCAGACCACGCGGCGAGCAGAAAAAGAAACACTTTGCCCGCGGTTCTGATGGAGAAGGAGAACGATGGGAAGTGCAATTTTGTTGCCAGGTGTTGCGTCGAAACAGATGCGGAAATGGCCACCAGCTACACCGTTCCATCACTGTGGAGCGAGGACGTACGTGCACACTCGACCCAACCGTCTGCTGGGAGTGCGCGATCCTGCTAGACGACGACATCGACGAAAATATTTGATATGCCCTCGAAAAACTCAACAGCTAGGAACTGGAGCACCATTTATGAGCCCGGTTCAGAACCCCTACGCCAACACTTTTATGACGGCCATTTGGAGCACAACACCCTAGGAACTAAGAACCCCAGCATCGCCATAAACCAGAGGTTTTCTTTTGTGGGCGTTAGCTGTACTCTCCGTCCTGTTGTTGACCAGTGATGCCTGTGCAGGTGCTAGGTGTGCGTGACGGCCGGTTGTCGACGCGCTGAGATACGATGCCTATGTTTTATTCCTTGGCTTGTTCGATGAGTGAAGAGTTCAGCAGTACCAATCCGTGTTTCGTATAGATGCCGTGGCCCCAATCATTTGCCTTTGTCCTGCGCCCGCGGTCGCGCTCTCCCTGCAGACCTCACGAAGGCCGAGCAAGAAGCCCTGGCGTTCGTGTATGACCTCCGAAACAAGTTCGAGTCCGGAGAGATACCGCTAGAGGAGCCGGAAGAGAAGGGCTTGTTCGGGGCTTTCAAGCGGGCATTCCAACAGTAGACTGGACGCACACAGGAGGGCATCAAATGTTTGTAGTGTGGATCGGTGGCGTTGTTGCTGATTTGTGTGTCGATGTCCTCCGGGGAACGCTGCACGAGTTTGACCAGGTCTACACTGCTATTGGCGGAGATCAAGTGTCTCCTCTCAAGGGCCGACGCTGGTTGCCTTCGTGGCAGGCGAAAACAACCGGCGTTCCCTCTAGTTTAGTTTGAAAGCTTGTTGATGCCGTACAGTCGTGGTCCCGGTTTAGCGGTTAGTTACCTCTCTGTTAAGCGGGATGCCCCGAATAGTGGTTCCAAAATCTCGTGGCGAGTCTGCACATCGGTAGTCAAAACTACAATATAACTGCCAATCCGGTTTAGCGGCGATGCCCTTAATAGCGGTTAAAACATTTTGTGACACGATGGACCGTTGAACCGGGACCACGAGTGTAAACGCAACAACTGAAGTTGGACAGGTCCTTTGGTGCGCGAAGAAGGTCGCTACCATCAGCTAGGTGGCTAGATGCATCACGGTTGAGCAGTTCAGGTGGTTAACATGCTAGTGACCCACGGCGGTTGGATGACCTTTGGGACGAGATGCGATAATGCACAATAATCGTGTGTGGTCATTCGACAAGGCTCCAAGGAGGGAATGGGTCAACCCCCAGCGCAGCAGCCAGAATATGTGTGCAAGAGCGTGCGTATGTGCAGCGAACAACGAGGATGACCCACCCACGAAAGATGCCTTACTCCCGAACGGCATGGACGCTGCTGATGTTGTATTGGTTCGAGTGCTGCTGATGCCGATTGGGGCTCAAGGGAAGGTAGACAGAAAGCATCTCACGAGAGAGCATGTTGACGAGCCGGATTGCTTTTTTCACCCGCTGCAGATTATTCATCTAGCCTCATCGGGTAGAAGATGAAGTAGTCTATTTAGCCCTTGCCAGCTTAACACAGCAGTTGCGAGGTAACCCACAGCAGCAACCCAGGTGTTCGGAGGTATCAGGTTGAAGGAACACGAACTTTGGCCATCTGGTCACGCCCTAAGGACGCACGTGCCGCCAAGTAGAGCTATCCCTGTTTCAGAAAAACAATGGAACAAACACTGTCAGGTCAAGTCCGTCGTCCGAACCTCGCACACCGTCCGCGACTTTCCTTGAACAGACTTGTGATCGGTAAATATCCCAGTACGACCTGCACCTCTTGCCACCTGTGAGCAGCACACAGGCACGCCAAACGGACAACGCATGATAATTATTTGTTCGGTCATTCTTTGTTCCCGGGGTCATGAACTCCCTAGTCTGTCGTATTGACGTCGTCGTGGCCGCTAGATAGTCTCGATCGACTCCTACTGTAATAATCCCAAGCAAGCTGTCTGTCACCACGTTCCCCTTTTGAGTTCGACTCTGTGGGGCCACCGTCTTTCTTTCGCCGTTCGAGAGCAAGTCAGTTTATTTATCCTCCAAGACAAACCAGCAAACAGAAGGAATAAATCTCAAAACCAATAGCGGACGGTGGCCGGCTTCCACGACGCTCGCTACGAAGAAAGTCACTCACTCACTGCTGTTCGTAGTGTTCATTTGACGAAAAGCAACGACTGTGTGTAGCAATTCGTATAAGAACCACCTTCTGTGGGTGGCTGCATGCTTGGCGCTCCTCTCTCACGATTGAATCGTGTTTGTGTGGTGCAACAGCCAGTCACACATACGGCACATGCATCTGTGGGTGGCTGCATGCTTGGCCCTGTAATTGTGGTCTATTCAGAGAGCCCGTTTCGATACAGCAACAGAGACCAGCAGTCGCACAGCGACGACGTACATCGACGAAGCAGCTGCTGGTGAACACCAGCAACTGCAAAGGGACCGCCTGTCTTCAAAATATAATTGCTGGTACGTAAGCGATGACGACGGCAATATTGCCAAGGGACAACTCGTGTCGATAAGCCCCCCGATTTTTCCGTCATCAGTATCACAACCTCTGTGATACTTGCTGGCGCTGGGCTAACGAAAGCAGCACGACGCGTTCCGAGCTCACAGGTGGGCAGGGGTGAAGGCTGTGGTAGGTTAGACTCATAAGCGATCACCGTTGCCACAGCAGGCATGCAAGACGACAACCCCGTGCTGCTGCTACGTTGTGGGCTGGGCGCTGTGATTCGTAAGCTCCTGCAGCTGTGTACCACGTACCCGCTCTTCTTTTCGCAAACTTTGCCCCCAACATTAAAAAAATAATGTATTTCTCCTGCCGGACGGTGTGGTGGATTATTCAACATGCACATCCTCGCACGCAAATTTGCGAACTTCATGATAACTGCCGCCCCATCACATGTTGGGCACGCCAAAGATTCCCCCCCAAACTGTTCTTCCGAAAACATGGTCAAACACAATCGGAGCAAATGCCACAACATGAGGGGGTTCTGCTTGCCATTAATTCAACGAAACAACCATATCAAAAACCTCAAACGTATCTCACAACCAACCCTCGCCTGACTTGAGTGTCTCAGGTCTTCTAGACTAGCCTTATTCTACAAAAATTATACACACTCTGCCGTGTGCCGCTCCATCGATTCCTGGCACCGATCTTCCGCGTCAGTTCAACGTTGAGTCCTATGAGGAGGACGAACGGTTTATGCTTGCGGACCAGTTTTTTTGTCCAAGTCCGTGAGCCGTTTGTTTGGTCGTGTTCATCCTTCTTCGTTCCCGTTGAGGCCAGAAGATGTAGCTTCCGATGCAGGCAACGAGACCTTCTCACAACCAATGTCTCCCTTGTTCCGGCCGTCCGCCTTCGCTCTCCATCGATTCCCGTCCACCGTCGATCGACGAATTACCACTCCATAGCAGCTTTCTCCTCGACAACATCACTCACGACAGGTTCAGCGCAAGAGAACCGCTGAGGCCCGCTCAAGAGGCATTTTCTTCCAACGCGTGCTGCTATCGCGGGGCTCCCAGCATGTGGTCGGCAAGTTGGTCAAGGCTACCGTTCACCTCCTTGCTCAGTGCCTCCGCCTTCTCCACCATCTTAGCCAGCTCGGCTCTCTTGAGTTTGCCTTCTCTGTCGAGACGAGCGATCTCCTGTCATTCGACGTATAAACCGGGCAGGGGTGGTGTGAATGTGCAGCAGCAGTAGATAGGTTTGGCGGGGGGGAGGGAGGGGTCGAGTGGGCCGAGTGCAGTGGGCAGCGGGGCAAACATGCCAAATGGTGCTTCGGCAAACTCGCGAAATGGCAGAAAGATACGTGATTCACATGCGGTCTTAGGCAAGTCAGATACACCAATCCCGGTCGTCCAAGCAACTACAGCATACCCCGGCCGTGCTATGCTGTACCATCACCGGTCCTTGTCACATGATCACATGATCAGAGAGCACAACAGCAGCAGGGAATGAATGTAATTGTGATACTGCTGTAGAAGCAGCAAAGAACAGCCGCTCCCGATTATTGCGAAAAAATATTTTATTGAGAAAATAAAAATTGGCCGGCGTACAACAATTGGCCGAAACGCTTCATCTCACGCAAACATACCAACATGCCAGGCCCGGCGAAAAAACAAATTTCACGCCGAGTGGGCAACCGCAAGGCCGGCATAGACTGCTGTAGTTGGAAACAGGAAACACACCCTTGAAGAATTTTCCAGGGATGTTCACGGTGTGGAACCGCACCGCGGTGCGGTTTTTTGTATCTTGACATGGTCACGGTGCGGTGCGGTTTTATCATGTCACGGTGCGGTGCGGTGCGGTGCGGTTTTTACCATCTCCAAATGCGACGGTGCGGTGTGGTGCGATTTCTCATCTCGAAATTTGACGGTGCGGTGCGGTGCGGTTTACCGTCCCACGTTTTTTTTGACGGTGCGTTTTTTTCTACCCCGTGACAACAACCACGCGAACCTCGGCCTTGTCGGCGGTGCACCGTCGAAGAACACCGCGGAGAATACTACGGTTGTCCGTGACAAAATGACGGGGTCTCCATGATTTTTTTTTTTCGTGGAATACGTTAGGTTTAGTCCATTGAAATGAGGCCGGCACGACAGATCACGCGGCTTGCCGTCAGAAAACCCGAAAACCCCAGACAAAGCAGAAGGCTACTGATCATTTACTTCATTTTCCCAGTCACCATACGTTCCTACAACANTCTCCATGATTTTTTTTTTTCGTGGAATACGTTAGGTTTAGTCCATTGAAATGAGGCCGGCACGACAGATCACGCGGCTTGCCGTCAGAAAACCCGAAAACCCCAGACAAAGCAGAAGGCTACTGATCATTTACTTCATTTTCCCAGTCACCATACGTTCCTACAACACGGGCTACGTTCCTCACTTGCTTCTACTACCAATGTTGTTGTTGGATATTGATGCGAAGATGCGAATATGCTAGAAAAAATGAAGAAAAAATCTGCCAGCACCACCGGGCAGGCGGCTCATGCCCGCCACGGGCTACAACCCGCGTATGTTGACGGCGGTGCGTTGCACGCTGCGAAATGTCTTCGGGGTGCCCCCAGTTTGCGCGGCATCAGCAGCACCAGCAGAGCAGAGGTAGAACCACCGGGAGAAGGAGATGGACGCGTAGCGACCACCTCTGCAAGAGGCTGGTCGCCATCGTCGGGGTCGACTCCATCAGAGATGGGCGGAGTTGTGCACGGAGCGTATTGCAGTGGCGGTGTGTGTGTGGCAGGGTGTGTGGTGTGGGAACACGGTGTTGCGTGTGTGCTGGTTAAAAAAAAAAAGGATCAATGCTCAATATTCCTGGTGTGTGCGTGTCTGCACGACGAAACCGTGCCTTACCTGCATTTTTTACCGTGGTTAACTGCGTTTTTTACCGTGGTTTACTGCGTTTTTTACCGTGGTTTACTGCGTTTTTTATCGCGGTGTACTGCCGCTTTGGCTACGGGGTGGGGCAAACCGTACCGTAATAAAACCGCAACTACGGTTCTTTGTGAATCCTTACGGTGCGGTGCGGTGCGATTTTGTCGTACCACGGTGCGGTTTAACCGCACCGCACCGCACCGCACCGCACCGTCGAGGAAAACCGCACCGTGAACATCCCCGGAACTTTCCGCACACCCTCCGATTGGCTTCATACAGCTTGTGCTTGTGCTTGCTTGGAGTGGAACATGTTGGATGGCGAAGTTCTTCCGTGCAGCTTCGCTCTCCAACTCTTGAAACCGCTGACGCTCGGCCTTGCTCGGCCTTGAGCAGCTCAAAGCTGTAGTCCTGCTCTGTAGGGTCGGAAATCTTCCTGCCACGTTGCTGTAGGCAGCAACTGTTCGTGGCCACGGAAGATAAATCTCTCGATTCGGCACGCCGATGTTTTTTTGGAGGCTCTGTCGGCGGCAGCGCAGAAGGGAGCTCTCCTGCGCCTGGAGATAGATGATGAAGTTTCTCAGTTCATGGAGTCCGAGGCAGGGCCAGGTGCGGCGCCGAAGAAGGCTAGAATGTCTGGACTACTGTAAGGATCATGGGGTGTCTGGTCTGGTAGACTGCGAGAAGGGTCATCGCGGGCAACAACCTCTCTCTGCTGTTCCATCCACATCAGGTAGGAAGGTGTGAAACTAAAACTTCAAGTTTGGAGGGGCAAACAATACCTCTGGACGGATCCGTGCAGAGGAATTTTTTGCTACGAACTTCCTCCTCCGAGGGTTTGGTCGGAAGTCAGACAACCATAGACACGACCGACGGGTTGATTCGAAATTCATTGGGGGTCATTTCGTGTCCAAACGGTACTGCCGGGGACATTTTTGTCCAGAGGAGGTTTAATTCAGATTTGGATCTTCCTGAAACATCATGCTGGTCTGCTGTCGTCGGTCCGTTCCTCGGAAACCTCAAAACACGTGAAAGTGAGTCAATGCAGTTTCGGCGTTCCAATCGGAACGCGGAAACGTTTCGTAGTCTGTTCTATTTTCAACATATTCACCACAACGTTTCGGCGTTCGGGTCCGAACGCCGAAACCTTTTGGCCGTCTGATGTATATTCAAATGACTTCAAACAACGTTTCCACGCCTGCAATTGGACACACGCAGGGCGAACAATTTATCGGCTCACACACCGGCCCACACACCCACACGCTATACCCTCGCGCTCCAGGTCCCGACGTACGGCGTCAACCTCGTGTGAAGGCCGCGTTTCCAGTTTCCAACAACAACAGCAGTCAGTCGATGCCGGCCTTGCAGACGATTATGCCCATGTGCGTGAAATTTGTTTCTTCGAAGGGCCTGGCATATTTTTGAGTTTTCCGCTCAATCACCTAACCAAAGCCCACTCCTGACCTTTCCTAATACGCGGTGACCTCTACGGCAGATCGCCCCTTGGGGAGCAGCTGAGGGGCGACAGCTGAGGTGTGCATTTGTCGTATTGCTGCTTGCTGCTGCTGCTGCTGCTGCTTCTGCTGAAACTGTTCGTACTCCACTACGTCATCACCGCCGTTGCTTATTCAATCCATCCCCCGATGAAACCCCCCCGCCATTTCTTGCTTACTTTGCCACTGCTGCACTGACTGCTGTACGATATAACCCCGCGCGTCAAACCCCAGAGTTCCTTATTTCAATCTTGGACATTCGCGTGATCAGAGGAAACGTTTCGGCCAAATGTTGTGCGCCGACCAATCTTTTTTTACTCAATACACAGTTAGGGGTGTCAAAGCGGAAAATTTCCTATAGGAAAAAATTCGAAAAAGCGTCCTCGGATCTTGCTGATGGAAAATCGACCAACCAATGAAACTGCACGAAACCGTCGGAACCTCCCGAAAAGACCCTCTGACGCACACGCGCGACGGCGCGGCTCGCCTGTGTGCTTTGCGCCCTGCTATGTGGCACAGCACAACACCATTGCGCGGTCCCACTCTAGAACACATGCCTCATGACACACCCGAGCAGCAGCCGGGCGGTGAAGCCACGCAGACACCTGCCGCCGCTGCTGCTTTTCAGCAGCAGCAGCAGCGGCGGCGGCGGCGGCGGCAGCGAGGCTGAGCCTGGCTCTCTTCCACAACTTTCTTATTTTTGACCAACTCCTCCTTCGTTTCCTCCAGCGTTCTCGCTACGACGGTGAGGCTGCCGCGTTCGGTAGCGCGCCGCGTGTTATCTTCTGCTGACGTGGCAACCATACACTGCCCCGTCCTCTCTTCAAACTTCATTTTGTGTTGATTCAGCTTTCGCGCAGCGCGCCTCCTGCTGCCGAACGGCGCGGACCTCGATTTTTTTTTGGGGGGGTCTGCTGGTGTGGGTACTGCAGCCCCCCTGGAGGGGCCGTTTTCAGACAAGTAGATTTCGTGGTTGGCTGATGCGATTCGGATGCGGTTTGTTGTGTGGCATAGCTGTAAACCCAAGGTAGAGGGCTGTAAGCTCGCTTTGTCGAGAGGAGCAACGGTCGCCTTGGGCGTGGAGCAAAGAGCCCAAAAAAACATGTTTTTTGGTGTTGTTCGTCCGCCGTTTAACTTGAAGAGAAAACCGAGCTTACAGTTACCTCTATTGGACCTGTGTCCAGGTGTGTGTAACGCATGAAGAGCCATGCTGCTGTCTGGACGCAGAGCTTCCTGTACAAACAAATTGACTTGATGTAAAGTTTATTCAGTATTGACAGCGGGATTTTCAAGAACCAAAAAACGAACCGAATCCGCGTGCCCCCCTCAAATTTTGCCGATTGGACCGGACGTTTTTTTTGCCCCAAATTCCGCCGCTTTAACACCCCTAACAGTTTCGGACTGGGGATCCAAATTTCCGGGAAGCAGATTTTGAGATAAGAACGTTTCTTGGAAACTTTGTGCAGGTGAAACTTTTCAGATTTAAGCGGCTTCATGTGATTGGCTGTGGGTCAACAGTCCTCCCACGAACTTCCCCTGCCCGCAGGTGCTGTTGTTTTTTCGTGGTGCGCTGCGTGACAGCTAGCTGTGCACCTTGCTTGATGACAAGGGGCTCTCACTGCTGCTGCTGTTGAGTGTGCGTGCGTGCGTGCGTGCACGTGTCCGTGTCTGCGTCGCTCCCTCAACCCCAGCACACGTAATCACACTACACCAGTACGGAGACAGGAAGTGATTACTGCACACTGGCCGATGACAGCCTCTGAACGAAGTGCTAGGTCGCGTTTCAAGGGTTCGGGAGAGAGACGGGGGGGTTAGGACCGGGAGGCACATCCGAGTCAAACGCTCTTCTTTCTAGTAGACACCAGAGAAAATACTCGTGCGCGCGGAAGGACGCGCCCGCCTTCACCAGGAGGCCACTACGTGCTCTTCCTCCTCTCGGCCCTTCTTCTTTGCTGGCGGCGTTGCCACCACCAATAGGTTCGTGCGCTCTTCCTCCCCCTTGCCTCAATCTTACGGGCGTGTTGCTGACCTCAAGCCAGCCGGAAACAAACCTAACTGTCTGACCGTGCANTCAGGAGGCCACTACGTGCTCTTCCTCCTCTCGGCCCTTCTTCTTTGCTGGCGGCGTTGCCACCACCAATAGGTTCGTGCGCTCTTCCTCCCCCTTGCCTCAATCTTACGGGCGTGTTGCTGACCTCAAGCCAGCCGGAAACAAACCTAACTGTCTGACCGTGCAGTCTCCCTGTTTTTGTGTTGGTGGCGCGCCAACTCCAAGGCCTTTCGCTGGGCGCTGGCCTTCTCTTTGGCCGCGCTGAAATGTTCTCAGCAGACTGCTGTGTGCGCGTGCGGTGGTGCGATGTGTTACTTCGAAGAAAGTTGCTAAATCGAACAATCGTGAACAATTTTCCATAAACCAAGCCTCCCTCGGCCCTTGATCTGGAAGTAGTTTTTTTCCTTGTTGTGGGTTCTGGCAAGACTGTCAGGAGCGATCCTCGGAACGACGGCTTAACTAAAAATATTGTATGTTTCCCTATTTCGGAATTTTTTAGCTGGAATCATCGGGAGGTGTTTCACTTACCTCCATTTGCTGATCTTCGCGCAGCTCTGCCCCCGGCAGCACATCGATGAGGCCATCCAAGGCTCTCGCTTGCTTCAGCACCCCATCTGCCAGGGACTGCACCGTGTCCGCCCACGCGGCGTTTGTGGTAACCGCCCGCCTCAGGGGAGCTGCACCGGGTTGTCCCGGCTGCTGCTGCTGCTGCTGCAACGGGGCCACCCCCCTCGCCCCCCCTTTGACTTCCTCCGAAAATGGGATTAATCGAAGGGAATCGAACATGCTGAGAGCTAGCTGGTCCACGGACTCTTGCACGGCAGAAACGGCATCCTTGTCCACTTCCATAGCGCAGCTGTCAGGTGTGGCAGTGAAGTGGTTGCACATGGTTGTGCATGCGGACAATATTGGGGGGCAGAAAGCTTGGACATTCTAACGGGGGGGTACATCAACGCGCGTCGCCCCAGCAACGCAAATTGGCCCGCACAAGCACTATGACGGTCTCATGTCTCGTGCACGGGCCTGCACAAACAAAGCACGGCTATTCTGTGGTGCACTACACGCCGACAGGATGTTGATATTAGCGCAGCCAAGCGCCAGCAGCGCCAGCGTCAGCGTTGTTTTACATGGTGGAGGAAGCTTTGGATCGACCCTCGCGGGCAGAATTGCAACAGCAGCAATCCCCGCCGAGGTTAGGTCATCGCCCCTGCTGGAGAACTGGGAAGGGCTGAAAGAAGTAAGCACATGGTGGGGGCAGTGTGGTGCTCTTGTGTGTGGGAGTGCTACAAACAAAAGGATGAGGAAGAGTGAAATAGAACACGTGTTAGGGAACTGTGATTCGTACATGGCGTTTGGTTGAGAGATTCGTTTGACTCCGAACATGACACGCCAAAGATCGGAGCCCTTTGCTGTGCGTGCACAGAGCAGTCCTGATGTGTCCCTCGCGACTGCCGCGCTGGTGTGGTTCATCGGATTTGAATGCGCAGTAATGTAGCTAATCGGCCACGTTTCGCCACACGCAGCTGGATGTTAGGTGCCTGATGAACATCACCTGCACCACCATAGAGCTAGGTATGCTCACCGGATCCCAATTCAAACTGCTCATAGGTCAGATCCCGCATTATTTCACAGGTCTGCACCGGCGCCGACACCGTGTATTTGCTCTCGGCGCTAGATCTCCCTCCCTCGCCAAACGACTCCGACTTGCAGGCCTTCACAGCAGGTAAACAAGCGCGGGTCTCGCAGCTGACACGAACGATTGCTTGCACAAACCGTATTCGAGTTTGCCCACAGAGACGACGTCAGATTGCCGCGAGTATAGATAAAAATACATCAGGCAGGAACCGCAGGAGGGGGTCCAGCCCCCCCCTCCTATGTGACCCGATCGGGTCATCTAGCTAGTAGAAGTAGAGGATAGGGGCCAGAGGGGCAGACGACAGAATCCGATGATGGGAGAAAAACAAAAAAAAGTTGCGATGTACTCTTTCACACACTGAGAAAGGAGATAACCGCGGGCGACGCGGGGGGGGAGTGCTGCACCCTCCTCGTCCAAACACCACAGGCAAGCACCGAGCCCTGCAAAGATGGATCGATGCGAAGAAACTCGCCGCTCGGATTAAACGGAAGAAAACACCCCCCCAGCGCGAGGCGGACCGAGAGCGACAGGAGATAGCAGCGGGCGTGAAGGCGACCGCGAAGAAGAAGGCACGGGAGGGCGATTTATCGTTCGGCACGTTCAACGTACGCACGCTCGCCTACAGCGGCAGGAACCCCATCGGCCACAACGTGATGACGGTCATGCAGATCTGTGCCGCGACCGACTGTGATGTGATAGGACTCCAAGAGACCCGACGAGCGGGACAAGGCGCGATTACACACGACGGGTACGTGATCATCTGGAGTGGTGCCCGTGCCGGCACCAAGGACAAGAGGGGCGTGCACGGTGTGGGCATAGCGATTAAGGAGAC